CCTTCTGGAAAAGTGACAGGCCTCCCAGCTCAGGCTCAGCCAGTGTGGGTGTCTCTTCTCTCCACCAGCTCCTCTGGAAACCCACTAAGTTATCTTAATTACCATTCCTCCTCTCTCTCTGCCAAGAATTGGGGAGATTTATAATTGGATCAGTCAAATATTTACTGTGGTTTATTTCTTTGCCACTCCAGCTCTCGTAAAAGTTGCGTTTTCATGCCACTTTCGGGCATGACTGATGGCTCACAGGCACAGCCCTCGTTGCATGTCAGCTGGGGTTATTTCTTCAAGGTCAGAGAAAGAGGGGGGAGGGAGGGAGGGGGAAAGGCAGTGTGAGAGAGAGGGGAGGGGAGGAGAGAGGGAAGGAGGGAGGAAAGAAGGGAGGGAGGGAGAAGGAAAGTCAGTGAGAAAGGGAAGAGGAGAAGAGAGACAGAGAGGGAGGAAGGGATGGATGGAGGAGGGAGAGAGCTTTGAGGAAGAGAAACATTGTCAATTCCAGGTTATTGTATTGTTTCCCTTTCTTTCCCCGGTGTAAAAGAGACAGAGGCCACTTGTGTCTCTTCTGTTATGACTGGGTTATATACTCCTAATGCCCTTCGGGGAACTGTAGACCTGTTAGAATGTGTCATACTGTGACCTTTATAGCCAGCTAAGCAGAGCATAGTCCCTGAATGTCTCCATTTCCTGGATGGACTTCCAGGAGTTCCTGGAGCAGATGAACGAGCAGGTCCTAGTCCCGAGCCTGAGTTATCAGTCCCCAGTGAAGATGGTGCTCTAGCCAGGCTTCTGGAAATGCTGACCTTGTAGTATCACCTGCCTGCCAAGTGTGCTGGCAGGTCACCATCCTGAGCCACATCCTAGAAAGCAGAGGCACCCCTAAAGCAGCAGGCCTCCCTGCCTCACAGCTCCTTGCTAGCTCCTGGTCCCTGCCCTGAACTGCAGTCTCTACACTTGGCTCCACAGACCCACCTTGGGTTTCTGTCCCTTCCCTGGATCAGGGCAGCAATGAATGATGCTTGTGCTGTATTGGCCTATGAGTAGAGAAGTCAGATGTTTGGCTGAAAGAGGACCAGGTGTGTCAACTGGGATGCTCAACAGGCAAACTGGGAAAGGCACTCTACTGACAACAGAGGTAGAGTTGCACGAATGGATGACTCTCCACATTCTCATGGGTAACCCGTCCACTTCTGCCTGATGAGAAATGAGAACAAGGCTGGAATCTGCTGCCATCTTGGGGAGTATGCAGGAAAGGAAAAGAGAAATGGAGCTGAGAAATCCCTGAAGCCTGCACAAGGGACAGGTCACCATTTCAGAGGCTGATTGTCACCAGCAGTTACAAGTAGATAGCTCCTGGAGCAATTCCAGGATCTTCTCCAGGTACCAATTGTCACATCCGAGCCACAGCTACCTTGGGCACTGCTGTCTTAGGTTGTACCATGGGCTGACACACTCAGAAAAAGAGAGAGTGTGTGTGAGAGATTCACAGGACACCTAATGACAGCATCAGAAGGATTCTGTGGCTTGTGCTCCATTATCCTAAATGATTATGTGCCCCGCTAACAGTAAAGGGACTACAGAACCATAGTGATCTCTGTCACAGAGGCCACTAAGTTACAGTGTCAAAAAAGGAAGGAAAATGAGGCAAAATAGGGGAGGAAGCCTACACGCATTGTTTACCATGCTAATGAACTGGGAAGCACCGTCCTGAGCGTCTCTCAAATCTTGATGGTGTTTATGAATGTTCAGATTCCTGGCCCACAGTCCCCTATCACATGCATGTTCTGACTGGTTGTGCCATACTGCCTATAGCTCTCTTCTCCTCTCCTCTCCCATTTAAGGCAGCACTGTAGAAGATGGAAGCAAAATAATCTTCAAAGACAAAACTTTTACTTCATTCCAATTTGGTTTCCCTCTGTATCATGCATCTACAAATTTGCTACTTTACTCATTTGATATTTAACAAACATTTATTGATCAGTTTCTACTCCAGGCAGATTTGGTAGGGGAGTGACTTCTAATAAAGCTAGCTGAAGTTGCAACCAACCAGTTTGCACACATAGCACTCACAGTTATAGGCACCACATATATCAGTTCAGCTATTTCTTAGACCTGCACTTTGCTATGGAAACTATTGTCATTCCTACTGAAAGGACAAGAAGTCAGAGGCACAGGCCTTTGATCTCTTACACAAAAGGCCAGCAAGCAAGGGGAGAGCAGAGCTCAGAGACTGATCCAGGCAAGTGAACCCTGGAGTTGTCGCTCTAAACCCCCCCCCCAGCCACTGAGTCCTGTGCCTGCAGCTTACATCCTTCTGCGTGGACTAATGATGGGCACAAGAACAATTGTGTCATTTAGGGAATAAGATAAGAGCTTAGGAAATGATGAAGTACATAAAGGGATACAGAAGTGAGATGTGTGGGCCACCGTATCCCATCTCACCCTCCCATCCACGACTTGTTTGAGAAGCCAAGGCTGGCAGATTTCCCCTAAATGAAAACTGCCCCCTAAACCTCCACAGGAGGACTCCAAGGAGCCAGCCAAAATAAATGCCCTTCCTCTACTCTGAAAAATGCCTTCTTCCCTAGTCATTTGATTGGCTGGACAGCAAGACCCGCCACTAGTCCTGAGCCATTTCTGTGTCCCTCGGCTGGCCAGCCAGTTCTGCACCAGATGACTAATGCCCAAATTAGTCATGAGCAATGGCTCCACACAAGTAATCACCTTCCCCAAACTTTTCCTCATGGGGGTGATAACTCGGACCCCAAATGAAGTCTATTCTTCTCACCTCGCCACCAAGGAAGTTACAGCCATTGCTCTAACTGACAGCAGTCTGTAGACACCAGTGTTCATGGTCAGACATTTGCGAGGTTGCTAGGGAACAAATGCTTTGGTTACAAAGGTCTCTGGAAGCACTGTCTGTTTGTCACATCCCTCCAAATCATTTATTTCAGCCCATAAGGACAATGGTGACCAGTGGAATATGGGGCAGAGGTAAGCGCCACACAAACACTTATTTACTGAGATGTAGGTCATTTCTTCTTCCCAGAAATAGCCATCTCACTCCACATATGAACAACTAGAGCCACATGCTGCTTCCCTGGGGTCCTTCTGATCTGCAAGTAGGTGGCCCTCAGTCACAAGTACTTTGTAATTCCTTATCTCCCGAGCACCTCCCTAAGCATTAGCTTGTGTCATCCCTGTAACTGTATTCCTGAACTTCAGGTGCCACTACCCCTGAGAATAAAAACAGACTCAGCGTCCAACAATAGCAAGTGGGGTCAGAATTCAAACCTGGGTTTGCCTAATGGCAGAGTCATTATGCTTAGGATTACTAAATCTTGTGTTTGCAGTGAGCATGTTTCTGATGGAAAATGGGCAATGGGAGCTATCGAGTTTGGCAATTGCTGGAGCTTCCAGCTATGAAGTTGTATGTGGGGTGGGGTGGGGTGATGTCTGCAATGTATGGAACTCTTTTCATGGAGGGGAAAGTAGAGAGTGCTTGGTCTTGGAGAGGTGTTTTTAATCTTCCATAGCTCTGCACTTAGGGTCTTCTCTGGGCGTCAGAGTGCAAGGAACTGTTCTGTGCAGTGACTTTGAGTTTGTGAGATTCATCCATTTCTACCAGGGGTTTATTGATTTTCTTGTCAACAGGAAGAAACATTGGAGTCCTCTTTGCCTTTCCTGCATCTTCCCTGCCCAGCCCATGGGCAACTCGTGTGGCTTCTCTCCCTTCAAATGTCCCTCGAGTGTCTACTCCTCACTTAACGGTCCTCATCAAATTCTTTTCACCTCACACATGACTGTCTGTAATCTCCACTTCCTAAACCAGTTTTCCTACTTACTTTCACTCCCTATAGAATATCTCATATCCCACCTCAAAAACTAATTCCTCAGAATGCCCTTTTATCACATCAGTCACTGCTCAAGAGTTTTTAGTGGCTCCCGCTTGCCTGCCATAAGATTTCACCTGGTACTTAGAGCATGCCTGTCTTAGGTAATGCTGGATCCTTCCATTCCCTCATCCCTGGAAACCTGAGCTGTTGGACTTCTGTTGCACTCATCTCTAGCAACTTACACACCAGTTTCCACTGAAACGGAATTCAACATTTAAGTGTTGGTTAACTTAAGGGCAGGCACTGTCAAGGCAGAATCATTGCTGAACATAACTTTGTCCAGATTTTTGCTCTATGTGACTTTAAGCAAAATACTTGGATTTTCTGAATTTTAATCTCCTGTACCTGTAAAATATGGACAAGGCCTGGAGCACAACTCTGCCTGTAAAGTACTTGTCTAGTACAGGAAAGGACCTGGGTTTGGAGTCCAACAAAACACACACACACACACACACACACACACACACACACACACACAC